AACCAAAATCTTAAGTGCAAGTAACTTATATATCTGCTTAGCTTAGGTAACATATAAGTTAGTCTAAATATTTGATAAAAATGTTTAAATCATCTGAAATGTCTACATAGATATCCATTCAAACATAAATATCCCAAGTGACAGAGCTTTAAAAAAAAAAAAAACCTGATTACAGGATATACTTTGATACTGGATAAACTATCAACTGAGTGAGTAGCTTAAAAAATGTGTTTTGCATAAAGTATGAAATGTGTTGTTGCACACATTTAGTCCTCACATCTGAACTGTGATTTAGTTGCTGTCACCATCACAATTTTGTATATCAAGAACTGTTTTTTTCTTAAAGCTTAAGAAACTTGCCCAGGCTGGCAAGAAGTCTGGATCTCAACTCAGAATGATTTGATCCCAATGCACAGAAAGTCACACCTCCCACTGGAAGGGACAGTCCCCACACCACCAGCCTGCCAGCCTTCCCTTTCACTGCAACTGGATGGTAGCCCTCAGGTGACTGCTTTAACCAACACAGTTTGAAAACCACAGCTTTCAAAACTTTTTACCACTATTTCATGGCAGAAATTCAGGATTTAATGAACATAGCGCAATGATCTATTAATTTTTCATTCCACATATATGTATTGAGTACCATTTTTATACGTCAGGCACCATTCTTACAAGTCAGTGGTGAACAGGTGAACAAGAGAGACAAGATCCTTGTCTATGGAATTTCCATCACAGTAGGACTCAGGAGCATAAGTAAATTTTTAAATAAAGAAAGAAAAGGAGACTTGCTACACAGAAAATTAAAACAGAATGAAGTCATACTGAGTTGTTACTGCTTTAAAAGGAAAAACAGAATGTAAGCGCAGGGACCTGGATCTAAAGTGTTTGGGCTTGGCTTCTCTTTATCACCTATTTGCAGTATAGTTATTAGCAAGTCACTTAACTTCAATGTTCATTTCTACGAAGTGGGAAGAACGAGGATACCTGCCTTAGGAAGATTTTGTGAAGATTAAGAGAAAGATGTGAAGTTCTTAAAACAGTGGATGACACAGTAAGATACAAATGATAATTCCTGCTGTTTCAAGATTGAATGACCAGATGTGACATTTCAGCTCTTTGCTTGTCTTGGAGCCCAGACATAGTGATTATTATCTTCTTGGACCTAACATTTGAATCTCAGCGATGAAACTCTCTTATTCATGAAATTTTTAAAAATAAACAAATGTTTTAAGCAATATAAATGTGAGCATAAATTATGTGCGAATGCCTTGTATTTACATATTAAATTTAAAATCAAAATGCTGTTTGAAACAAGATTTTAAAACAATAAAATCGAGGCATAAAAACTTGCACCCACTCAGCTACTTTGGCAACTTCTCCCTAGACTTTTTGTGGTTCACTCTTTCTTCCCCTCAGGAAAAAAAAGAAAAGAAAAAAAAAATTTCCCCAGCTCTGCAACTTTGGTCTTTTGGAGCTTCAAGGCTTTGCAAATATTCTGTGCCTCAGGAATTTTTCATATTGCTTTAAAATGTGCCTGTGTTTTTTGTTTTTTTTTAAATCTGCATCCTAAAAAACCAAAAGTAACTGGCACAGTGATTCAGGGAGGTTTTCTTCATCCTGTCAAACGTCAAGCCACCAAGAGCTTACACCAACATCTTAGTTAACACCCTAATTTATGACCATGGTCTGGTCGGCCAGATGAGGACCAGAGTGGAGAAAATGTCTCACTTAAGGATCATCCCAAAGGCCCTGATGACCCTACTTTTTCATGACTGGCCACAATTCAAGCCTTCCCAAGTGTTCCTGTTGAACCCTCCCTAAATAACCGTCAGGGTGGAGGTTCCTCAGCCTCACTTTGTTCTCTTTGGTGGCAGCCAGCTTCCAGCCCATTCTTTCTGGAGTGCTCACGTTAAAATGAAAAGGACCTGGTCCTCCACTTCTTCAGATTGGCTACAACTTGTCTGGCATTGTTAAAACCAACTTTTCTTAAATTTAAATTGGACTCTTTTCCACTTCTGAACCTTTCAGCATAACTAAAATAAGGTAACGTTTTTTAAGCTTCAAAAGTTTCCTATCAGGAGGTGCAGATTTTATTTCTAGGTGCATCCTTTTTTCTTTTGTTTAATCGAGTACTCCATTGGCTTTTTTCCTATCTTGAAGCATTCTTCCAACCATTTGCATGTTCCCCAGAGGATTTCTAGTGATATTAAAATAACTTTGTCTAGCATCTTCAATAGTTTAATATTTAATGAGCACCTGCTGTGTACCGAGTATAGCTCCAAAAGCTGTGGGGGATTCAACAAAATATAAACCTCACAACATTAGGCTCAAAATCTGCTTTGCCCAAATTGTTATGAATATAAAGTCCTAGGCTTCTTATGCCTTTGCAGATATAATTGAGTGACATTCAGTGAAATATTAAATAGTATTACAGAGGCAAGTAGGTTAATGATAACCATATTTTTTTATGACCCTATTCCACAGGAAACAATGGGAAATAATATGTATGAAAAACACAAGAGCACAGAGACAGTTGAAGATAAACTGAAACTCTTTGGGCGGTCTAAATAAAAAAATAAATCGTGTGGCCATATCCATGTGAATGTACAGCATATCCCTCTTGGTCCTTAAGAAAGCTTATGTAGTCTAGTTCTGGACACAGAACATGAACACAAACATCCAACAAAAGACAGAAGGGAAATTCCTGACTTATGTGATCCTCTTACATATAAATCACCCTCTACATGGAGCAACTGTGTGAGCTTTCATTCCTCTCCCCATTGGGGACCATCTGGGAGGCTCCTTCTCCTCTGTATCATATATAAAACGGGTAACGTTCAGATAGTAATGTTCTACATCTTGAACTAATTTCCCACATTTTCTCAAACAGTGAAAGCGTTAGCCCGCTCAGTCCTATCCAACTCTTTGTGACCCCGTGGATTGTAGCCACCAGGCTCCTCTGTCCATGGAATTCTCCAGGCGAGAATACTGGAGTGGGTAGCCATTCCCTTCTCCGGGGGATCTTCCAGACCCAGGGATTGAACCCCAGTCTCCTGCACTGCAGGCAGATTCTTTACTGTCTGAGCCACCCTTTTTATATACCTTTTTATATGCCTGAGCTCCCTCCTCTCCACCTTTATTCTTTACTTTGACTCTTAGCGTCTTGCCTTAAAACAGACGTAACCTTGGCAATAGCTCTTCTTTAAAAGTATTGCAATACAAAATCCAAACAGCTTAGGTGGACATAAACTTCCTTCATCATCTGACTCCGTGTACCGCATCCCCCATCTTGATCTGTCCCCTAATATATCCTACACTCTACCCATACTCAGTTCCTGCCTCCTTGGCAGTACTCTCTGCTGGCCCTCCTGCCCCTTCCTCCATCTTTATCAAACTCAATGTCCCATCTCCAGTGTAATCTTTTCTGACTTGCCCAGAGTTTCCTGCTCTGTCCTTCCTGCCCCCTTGTGCCTTCTTTGTACTTCTTTCATTATTATTGTGTATTGTGACCACCACTTCATATATCTGCCCCACAGGCCAGAATATGACTCACTCAATGGTGAGGCCGTGTCTGTTCATTATTTGTTTTCTTAGTACCCATCACAATGTCTGGCATTCAAACTTTACTACGTGAATAAATAAATATTGGGGATTATGTAATGGGTTTTGGAGATTTCTGTTTAAATGGTTTAAATGGAAGAAATGGATTCTTAAAAGGCTAAGCTCTGCTTATAAAGGAAATTCATTTATGTGAATCTGTTCAAACTCTCATAATGCTGGAGAAATAAACATTACTGTGTCTTTCTTATGGTTCACATTTATCATCATAAGAATGGATAAGTATCGATTTCTCACAGAGGATTTGCTCACATGAAAACTCTGTTATACTGTAGCAGATAAATGTTGGTTTTAGTATGAGAATCCATAGAGAGAATGCTTATGTGTATGCATTTCTTGGGCTAAGGAATCCAGTTTATTTGAAGACCTCAGAGTCTGTTCTGTTTTGTTTGCTTGCTTGCTTGCTTTGTTTTGTGGGGTTTTTATTTTCCTTTTTGTAGCTTGGGGGGGGGTTGGGTTTTTTAATGTTTTTATGCATCCCTGTGTATCCATAGTGAGATTCAAATTTTGGTTACTATGCCATCCATGTTGGACATGTTACTCAAATAAATGTTCTTATAATTTTCACAGTATAAAGTTAATTTAACCCTCATCTTGATATTTGTAAAGATTAGTATTTTTCGTGTTTTTGATAGTATACATAAAAACTGTAGTTTTTCGTTTTCATTTCCTGCAGTTGTTTCTTAAAAGAAAGGACAACTAAAATTTTTAAGGTTGTGAAATCAGTTTCTGTGGCATATTTATTCTAAATTTACACAAACCACATACTAGACATTGTGCATCAAACACAAGTTTGCCTTGAACCCAATTGTTAATGTCGTATGTACATACACTAAGTAACACAAGTTATCTTTGCATTCAACTTAAGAATGTACTATTCAAGTGGCATGTACTGAATATATAAAACTTATTATGTTGCATTGTCTAATTTTCTTTAGTGGTAGGTATAAAAATAATTTATTTTGCCAAAATATAAAATGGAACTCTGAGTCTGTTCATGAACGTCATGTATTATAATTGCCAGTGGAGTCAAAAAGAAAGTAGAAAAGTGTTGAACAGCATAGACTTGTAGATACGGCTTTATATACTTGTTTACTAATACTGTTGGGAACTATTGTTGATTCTGTAACCCATTTCTCTTAAGTAATCTGTGGCAAGATGAGATTGAAAATCTTATAAATTGTCAAGCATATTGTGGAAGAAAAATATCTTCTTTTCTTAGGCTCTTATCTGAAGAAAATTAAATGAAGAATAGAATCAAGTAATAAAATACTGGATTTAAGTGAAGAAATTAATTCTGTTATATAGTTTTTATAAATTAATACTTCTGTTCAACTGATTTTTAAAGTGGTTTAATATTCTACATTTTTTATTCCTGGCAGGAACTAATTCCAGAATTCTATTACCTTCCGGAGATGTTTGTCAACAGTAATGGATATAATCTTGGAGTCAGAGAAGATGAAGTGGTGGTAAATGATGTTGATCTTCCCCCTTGGGCAAAAAAACCTGAAGACTTTGTACGAATCAACAGGATGGTAAGAACAATTTTGTTTTTTCTTGATCAGTCACAAGGAAGTAAAAAATATTCTGTAGTTTTATTATGTTTTTAGCTATTAACAAATTTTCATTTAACATCTATTAATACAAGGTTAATTTTTTGAGAAAAAGGATTTTACAATTGTCTTTAGACAGTGTTCTTTATTATAAAGTGGATTTTCCTTTCATGAGGACTAATAAAGGAATGGTAATTCAGTTATTTTTGCTCCCTTAGGAGAAGACAATCAGATGAGCATCTGTTGACTAATGCAACATATTCTAAAATGCTTGACATTAATGCCCGTTCCTTATTTTTGTCTACTGGCTGTGTCTGTTCTCTTTCTTCACTCATAAAATATTCAAAACAAAATAGTGTACATTTAGAACATACTTGTCTGTAAGAAATTGTAAGCTGTGAAACATACCTTAAAGTATCATACACTTGACTTTAAGAGAACACTCATCCTGTAAACGTTTTTAGAAAATGCCATTGCTTTTTAAATCTGTATGACAGATGTCTGGTGTAAAAGAATGTGTAAATATTGACAGAATGTTTGCATGTGGTTATTTTATAGATTTTAATATATTTATCCATATTTAAGTAGATTTTAGTCTCAGTGTGGTTTTGGTATATGGAATGAGCTGATTTACCAAACAGCTTCTCTAGTGTTCTTGTTCTGGTTCTTGGCCAATTGAAGAATTAGATCAATAAACTCAATGACCTAAAATATATTTTTAACCCTGTTTCACTCCCAGTTTTTTCCAGCTATCCCATAAATATGTTTTATTTTGTTTTGACAGTATATTTATTTTAATTAGAATGCAAATAATGCCCACATATTACAGTGGATCTCACATATCCCCGAGTCCCTTCTTTTGTAAGAGCTGTGTAATTCACATATATCACACAGATATAATTCACATACCATGCAAGTCAACCATTTAAAGTTTAAAAAAAAAAAATGGGTTTTAGTCTACTCATAGAGTTCCGCAACCATCACCACAGTCAATTATGAACATTTTTATTATCCTGTAAAGAAACCAAATTCCCTTTAGCATCCTCACAATTTCCCCATTCTTCCAACCAGCCCTCGGCAACCACTAATCTACTTTCTGACTCTATAAAGATTTGCCTTTTCCGGATATTTTGCATAAACAGGATCAGAAAGTATATGATCCCTTCCTCTACCCTACCCCTGATTTTATGTCTCTTTTTGTCACTGTCAGTCACATGCTGCCTTGAGTTTTAGAGCTATCTTTTCTGTCTCCAAGAAATATTTTACTTTCAATATACTTATTCTAGAAAGTTGGTACTGAGGCAGTAGACTCAGTTTAAAGACTCGTTTAACCTACCTGTAAAGTTACTAAATAGATAATCTGTAATCTAGTCTCATCCTGAGGTAACATCTTGTACAGATGCATGTGTGCTCAGTTGTGTCCAACTGCTTGTGACCCCGTGGACTGTAGCCCACCAGGCTCCTCTGTCCATGGGATTTTCCAGGCAAGACTACTAGAGTGGGTTGCCATTTCCTTCTCTAGGGGGTCTTCCTGACCCAGAGATGGAACCTCTGTCTCCTGCATTGGCAGGCAATTTCTTCACCTTTGAGCCACCTGGGAAGTAAGGTGATATCATGTAGTACCTAAATTTTTTGTAGGATTTCTCTTACTTCTCAATCTATAAATTGGTACTTTGGGATATATGTTGTAATTTTACAACATATACTATCTTCTTGAGCCATAGATTTATCTCCTCAATTTATCTTTTTAATGTGAAGGATTTATACTTTAGCGATGTATGTTTCTAAGAATCTATGCTTATCCTTAGGACAGGTAGTCCATAGTTACCACAGTACCCGTACATACTTGAATTTGTTATTGTCGTCATTTAGTTGCTAAGTTGTGTCTGACTCTTTTGTGACCCTGCGGACTGTAGCCACTGTAGCCACAAATCCTCTGTCCTTAGGATTTCCTAGGCAAGAATACTGGAATGGGTTGCCATTTCCTTTTCCAAGGGATCTTTCTGATTCAGGGATCAAACTCATGTCTCCTGCATTGCAGGTGGATTCTTTACCACTGAGCCACCAGGGAAGCCCCACATACTTAAATATTGACTATGATATCAGTGTAAAGATACCGCATCTACAAATTCAACCCTAGAACCCACTGCGTACTGAGTGGTGGCCGAGTTGAGTGATTCTCAGTTTCTCAGTCATATCTGCCCTGGTGGCTGCAGTAGTATTTAGTCACCAAATATTTGCTGAGTGAATCACATAGGGGTAGTAAGAATTTTAGCATACTGTCTATCTAGTTAGATCCAAACTAGTGAAGTAAAACAAATCTTTCACTCAGGCAAGCAAAAGTAGCAAAAATTGTTGGACCACTTTTCTCTTTCTTATGATGTTGATTGAACTGATTGAACACAGGTTTTCATGTGGGCACTGTTAATTAATAAGTGCCAGGTGTTTATATTAGAGAGAGATTGACTTGGAGTTTAAAAGTTCCCTGGCTCTGGAATTTAAGCTCTGCCATTTACTAGCTTCATTGCCCTGAGCAAATTATGAGATATCTTTTGTCCTCACATGTCTCATCTGTAAGGTGGGAATACCTTATATATGGGTTTTTTTTTTAATTTAAAAAAAAGCATTGTTTATCATAAATTTACTTGTACAATTTAATGATTTTTAATATATTTACAGAGTTGTGTGACCATCACCAAAATCTAATTTTAGAACATTGCTTTTACCCCAGAAAGAGCCTGTGCCCACCCCCAACCCCAGACAGCCATTAATCTTTTTTCACTTTCCTTGATTTGCCTCTTCTGGATATTTTACTTAAATAGACCCATACAATATGTGTTATTTTCTGTTTGACATCTTTCACTTAGCGTAGTTTTTGAGGTCCATCCATGTTGTAGTGTATATCAATTCTTTTTTCCTCTTTTTCATAACAGTGCTCCACATTTTGTTTATCCATTCATCAGTTAATGAACTTTTGGGTTCTTTCCACTCTTGGGCTGTTAGGAACAATGCTACTATGAGCATTCCAATGGACGTCTCTATATGGACAAGTTTTTGTCCTTGCTTTGGGGTTTATACCCAGCAATAGAATTGCTCAGTTCAGTTCAGTCACTCAGTCATGTCCAACTATTGGCGACCCGATGGACTGCAGCACACCAGGCCTCCCTGTCCATCACCAACTCCTGGAACTTACTCAAACTCATGTCCATCAAGTCGGTGAGGCCATCCAGCCGTCTCATCCTTAGTAATCCCCTTCTCCTCCTTCCTTCAATTTCTCCCAGCATCAGGGTCTTTTCCAGTGACTCAGTTCTTCACATCAGGTGGCCGAAGTATTAGAGTTTCAGCTTTAGCATGAATCCTTCCAATGAATATTCAGGGATGATTTCCTATAGCATTGACTGCTTGGATCTCCTTGCAGTCCAGGGGATTCTCAAGAGTCTTCTCCAACACCACAGTTCAAAAGTATCAATTCTTTGGTGCTTAGCTTTCTTTATAGTCCAGCTCTCACATCCATACATGACTACTGGAAAAACCATAGCTTTAACTAGATGGACCTTTGTTGACCAAATAATGTCTCTGGTTTTTAGTATGCTGTCTAGGTTGGTCATAGATTTGCTTCCAAGGAGCAAGTGTCTTTTCATTTCATGGCTGCAGTCACCATCAGCAGTGATTTTGGAGCCCATTATATCTACTACTGTGGGCAAGAATCCCTTAGAAGAAATGGAGTAGCACATAGTCAAAAAAAGAGTATGAAATGTAGTACTTGGGTGCAATCTCAAAAATGACAAAATGATCTCTGTTTGTTTCCAAGACAAACCATTAAATTTCACAGTAATCCAAGTCTGTGCCCCAACCAGTAATGCTGAAAAAGCTAAAGTTGAACAGTCCTATGAAGACCTACAAGACCTTATAGAACTAACACCCAAAAAAGATGTCATTTTCATTATAGGGGACTGGAATGCAAAAGTAGGAAGTCAAGAGATAACTGGAATAACAGGCAAATTTGTCCTTGGAGTACAAAATGAAGCAGGGTAAAGGCTAATAGAGTTTTGCCAAGAGAACGCACTGGTCATAGGAAACACCCTCTTCCAACAACACGAGAGAAGACTTTACACATGGACATCACCAGATGGTCAGTACAGAAATCAGACTGATGATATTCTATATAGCCAAAGATGGAGAAGCTCTATACAGTCAGCAGAAAGAAGACCAGGAGCTGACTGTGGCTCAGATCATGAACTCCTTATTGCAAAATTCAGACTTAAAATGCAGAATTGCTGAGTCATGTGTTAAATTTATGTTTAGCTTTTTAAGAAATTAGCTGTTTGCAAAGTGATTGTGTATCTTACATTCCTACTAGCAATGTATGACTGTTCTAGTTCCTCCATATCATCTTCAACACTTGTTATTTTCTGAATACAGTGCTTCTTCAAAATAAATCTATTTAATATTCACTGTAAACATAATATCAACCTTAATGTTCAGTGTACCAGGAACTAGAAGGATTGTGTATAATATGGTAACTATTTCTCAAATGTTTGCTTTCTCTCTCTTCAAAATAATAAGTTTTTTAACTAAAATATGAGAAATAAATACATGCACATTTCTGAAAATGGCATAAAACATTTTTATTATAAGTAATAAGTTCCAGTTCACAGGTGGCTCAGTGGTAAAAAAATCTGCCTGCTAATGCAGGACATGCAAGAGACTCGGGTTCAATGGCTGGGTTGGAAAGATCCCCTGGAGGAGGAAATGGCAACCCACTCCAGTATTCTTGCCTGGAGAATTCCATGGACAGAGGAGCCTGCCGGGCTACAGTTTGTAGTGTCACAAAGAAGCAAATACAACCGAGCACGCAATAAGTTCCAACTCGGTTTCTTGAAGAAATGAAAGAAACAAAGCACCATATTTTTTCTCTATTCAAAAACAATTCTTGGTATCTTTTAAGCATTAATGAATTTCATAAGTCTTGTGGACTAAAC